CACAACCCACTATGAAACAAACTTGTGATATTATAAAAGAACAATAATATCCCCTATGAAAAATGCATGGGTTTTTAGAAAGAGTTGGCCACTTTCAGTCTTTCTTTTGACAAGCTATTTATTGTATTGGGAGTTGATTTAGTCAGTTGGCAAGCAGAGAATATTAATGAAGCATTTACAGATGAGCCGTCTAAGCAGGTTGATCATGATTGACTCGAATCTACAGTGCGTGATATAAAGATGAATTATTTGTTGTGGCTGTTCTTCTGACCTTGTTATTGCAGTTCTCATCCTTTTAAAATGTTGGGTAGGGGTATTCAGTGCTGCCTCCCTTTGTCAACCAACTCTGTTGCTGTGGCTCATATCTGTTCATTTTCAGGCTGGATCTGAATCATATTTGTTTGTTTGATTCAGATCCATGGGGCCCATTGCTTTTATTAACACTCCATGCCATGGCTCCAGTTCTACAGTTGTGCTTATAATGAACTCTTAAAGGTAGAACAAGACCCTAGTAATAGTCACTTCTCTTTGAAAACAGCATCAGGTACAAATTCAGACTTCTGTCTCTTCTCTATTAAGTGGTTAATTAGAATAATTTCAGCATTTTAAAAAATGAGTTCTGAACTGACTAGAATCCAGCTGTGGATTTATGCTGATGTTAAGTGTAATGAAACAAATCATGGTGCCAAATTGCAACTCATTAATCAGTTGCTACTTGCATTCCTCAGGGCATGTCAGTCATGTGCCAGGATTCTGGCAAAGGCATTTTTTAAGCCAGTGTTCCTCCTTATAATCTATTCTCTACTAAAATGAAAGTAGAATAATATGGTGTTCATGCACTTGTCATGTGGGGGATTATTTGTAAATCGGGATGTGATTTTAACATCAGCCAGGGCTGAAGAGTCCCTGACTATGTGGAAGCTAAATGTGCTTCTCTTATCCCAGTAAGGCTCATTTGCCAAATATCTTCCTTCCTGAAGAGGCATCACATGACCCTGACTTTTGCCATTGGGAGCTGTTGCTTTGGAAATAGATGGAGAAACATTAGATTCCAAAATGGCTGTTTCCACATGGTCCTTCATGGGATAAATGCAGGGTCCGTATGGCTGACTTTCCATTCATTCATTCATTTAACTTATTTAAAACACAAAATTAAAAAAGAATGCTACTGAAAATTCGAGTCCTGCCAGGATTTCCACAGTTCCAAAACTAATTTAAAAAGGAAAGTTTTCACTTGACAGTGGAAGGGCCATAAGGAGGGCACCAAGTTAGCCTTGTGTGGATGGGAATTCCATAAATTTGGAACTGCCATTGAACATACCCTATCTTGAATTCTTGCCAAATGTCCCTGTGATTGTGGTGGGACTGAAAGAGGGCCCTTTCCCGAAGATCTGAGAGACTGGGATGGGATTATATGAAAAGATAGTCCTTCAAGTAGTCTGGACCCAAGCCATATAGGGCTTTATAGGTTATAACCAACACTTTGTGTTGGTTCCAGAAATGGACCGGCAGCCAGTGAAGTTGTTGTGGCAAGGGAGTGATATAATTCCTTTAAGATAGGTAGCTCCAATCAGCAGTTTGGCTGCAGCAGTTTGAACCAGTGGAAGTTTCTGAACCATCTTCAAAGGCAGCCCCACATAGAGCATGTTAGAGTAATCTAAATGAAAAGGAACCAAGGTATGTCTCATTGTATCCTAGTCAAGACAAGCCTACTTGAATGTGTTAAAAGTCGAATCCATAGGCGGTTCCCAAAGGAGCTACTTCCTCTTTTCTCCTGCATAGACTTCCTGTGGAAGGTGTTTGGAAACTCTAGCTGCTTCCAAATGGTCTGTCCAAATTATACATTACGGATAACTCTTAATTACAAGAGGGAATTCCTGAAGTGCCAAGAACTTCTGGTTGTCACAAGGGAGTTTCCCATGCCTCCCACAGTGTGCTGGTTAATGTGCTTTCCACTGCCATTATTCACTGGAAGATAAGCACAGCTTTCATTTCTAAATTTTAATGTACAATGACAAAAAAATATGTCTGAGTCTGATGTTTGGAGCACCAATGGATTTTGACTTCTAATATAGTTGGGCCCTGGTGTCAGTTACAAAATGAGCATGACTCTCTTGTTTCAACAATGTCAATCACTGCTGATCTTTTTCCGGTCAAAATTCAAAGCGCTGGCTATAACTTTTAAAAACCCTGTATGACTTAGGTGTAGAGGACTATACTGTTTTCCTTTAAAGTCTTGCAATATTTGCAAAAAAAGATTACTGATTGGACTTTAGCCAGTCTTCAGGGCAACAGATTCAGTCACCCTGTACTGCCTGTGTTCAAATATGGCACAGAGATGGCTGTACAACAAGACATGCTCAGTTGAGCTTAGATGGCCCACTGAGACTTAAGAAAAGAAGGCCTTGCTTGATTTTCTGTTTAGGGGTTTATAAATAAAAGCTACACATGTGCCTTGTGCACAGAATATTCCTCTCGCAATACAGTTATATTACAGACTGAGAGTCAAAGTAGTATATTAGACATAGCAACTATGGTTCTCTGTTTTACACTAGAGTAAATATGGAGGCAACTAGAATTCTAGCTTGGAAAGTAGGGAAGTTTTAACCCTTCCCTACACTCTGTTTCAGGACTGTATGCTGCATCTATAATTTATTTTGTGAAATGTTGAGTTGTTTAATGGATCCCTACTTTGCTATATAAATTGGAGGTACACTGAGCCTAATCTAGATCCAAATCCTACTGGGAGGGGGAAATCAAAGCCCTTGCCTGAATGCTAGGGTCTCAATGTATATTATCCTTACTCTCAAGTAAATCAGGTAACAAAAGGGTATAGCAGCAAGCTGTGTTTTAAAATAATGTTTCCTTTGGTCCTACAAAGCTTGCCTCTACCAGGCAGTAGATTGGAGTGGCTCATTCCATTAACTGTGTGTGCAAAACTGATTAGGTTTTCAGAGATGCCTCTTCATCATTAGGGTTCACATCGTCACCACAGATAGAACTTCTGTATCTCTTCATATTGCCTTAGACAATATTTTCCAGCAGAGGCAATTCACATATGGGAAGCAATAATCACAAAATTGTTGCCCTATCTGTTCATGTTTGCTTGGAAATAAATTCTCTGAGTTTATCAGAACTTAATCCCAAATGCATAGGTTCTTGTATTATTTACATTAATGTTGTGCTCCTGATCTGTCCTTGCCTAGTTTCTTCAAGTTCTGCTAGAGAAAATAAATTAGGGGATTGACCGTGTTACTTACTTTACCAGTTCTGGTCCTGCTGCCTTTCTAAATACATACATACATACATACATACATACATACATACATACATACATACATACATACATACATACATACATACATACATACATACATACATACATACATACATACATACTTGGACAACATTGTTAATTCAAACTCTCTCCATGAAGTTGCAGATACATAGACAGATTGTATACATTCACAGATCTTTTAGATCTTTGGACAAGCATACATAAGGGCCAGAGACTGGGATCATGGCCTTGAGTGGTTATGCTAATTCTCTTCCCTCTAGAATAGTGTGAATATCATTATTGAGTTGCTCTGAGGATTAACTGGATAAAGATGAATGCATTGTGCAAATGATACATGATCACTTGTACTGTATCATCCATTAAATGCAGCTGAGCTAGGTGGCCATTTGTATAATCCAATTTATTCCCCCCCACCCAAAAAAAAATAGTACATGTTTTTAATGACACAAATAACTGTTTAGTTCAATACTTTGTATGTACACATTGACATACAGGGGATTCGGGACAGCAGATGCAATTCAGTTTCAGTAGCATGAAGAGTTGCAAGGGCAAAAATACAGTAACGTCAGGCAGAATCATTCAGATTTTTTAAGGAAAGATGTTCCACTATCCAGGCAATAATCTAGTCAAAATTCTTTCTTTTGTGTAGCTCTGACATACTTCATCCTTCAGAGAAGTACTTTATCTGAAAATCTTAGTGTGTGGGCTAGATGGTGTGGGAGTAAGTTCTTTCTTAAGCGTTTGGAACCTAACATGTTTGATATTGTGAAGCTAAATACCAGCACCTTGGCTTGGAACAGGAGCACATAGGGAGCTAAAGTAATTTTTTAAAAATAATTTGCTTTACTAGCATTCTAAATCTGGCACCGTACACAGTAAAAATTATCATACTGTACTTTAATTGGAACTATTAGAATAATCTAGTCAAGATATTGCTAGAATATGTAGCCCTGAAGCCGAGTTGTCCTTGACTCTCTCTCTCTCTCTCTCTCTCTCTCTCTCTCTCTCTGTGTGTGTATGTGTGTGTGTGTGTGTGCGCGCGTGCACGCTTTTGTGTGTGTGTGTGTGTCTGTCTGTCTGTCTGTCTGTCTTCTGGTAAATATAATTTACGTATCATTTGGTACCATTCTTGTTAGTGTACTTTATATATTGACAGAGATTTTAAATATTTCTGGGGTTTGGGTTTAAATACCATCGCAGTTTACGTCAAAAATATTTTCTTCAAAAAGTGACCACAGTGTTTAATAAATAAAAATAAAATGAAGTATGAGAAGCCAGCTTAAGACTGATGCTAACATTCTTTTGCATTTTTAACAGCAGTGTTATTTGCAGGCTACATGCTTATATGGTGCAAGTCAACTCACACTTCATTGAAGCGACATAGATCTATACTAAAAAAACCCAAATGTCACTTCACCATCTGTGATTAATTGCCAGATATAATCTCAGTGGCTTGGATCAGTGACCCGAAGAAGTGACAGTATATCTAATAAGGTTCTTCTAGTAACCATTGCCAAGACATTTGTCCTTCCCCAGAAGCTACGTTGACTTGTATAGATAAGTAATTGTACTACATCGTCCAGTGAGAATTACTAGTAGAAGAGTTGGTTAAGAATCATTATATTTGATTTGGTCTATTTCATACTTATGTACTAAAAAGGAGGGAGCTATATAAAACCTGTTTCAACTTTTTCTTTTTCAGCTACAGTCACCGTTGTAAAAACAAATTGTTTAAAAATGCCGCCTGCAACAACATCACTACAGTATGCTCCCCCTGATGGAGGATGGGGCTGGATCGTGGTCTTCGGAGCTTTCATCTCCATTGGGTTTTCCTATGCATTCCCTAAAGCTATCACAGTGTTCTTCAAGGAAATTCAGGAGATCTTCGACACATCATATAGCGAGATAGCTTGGATCTCATCAATCATGTTGGCTGTGATGTACGCAGGAGGTATCTGAGAAGCTAACTTTTATTTTGCATATCCCACCCATGATTTTGCTTCTTCTGTTGTCTTTTGGTTAAACCTCTATATTCATTAGACTTCATAGGATTCAGAGACATGCAAAACAATTTCCTATGTGGTGTATTTTGCTAAAGCATTGCCTATGGTCTCCTCCAATGTCCACTGAAACCTAGCAGCTGTCATACTGAATGCATGAAAAAGAAAGTGCAGAAGCTATGCTGGTCCATTGAGAAAAGCATCCCAAATCCATGATCAGCCAGTGCCATGGTTAGGAACAACCAAAATGTCACAAAACAGTAAGCAAGCTTGCAGATTCTCAAGAACTCTGGAAAACGTCAGAATTAAATAGTACTCTGGGAAGGTGTATTGCTGATAGGGTCTTATATTAATTTTTATATAGTATATCATTAATTACTCTAAAATCTTTCCCCCACCATCTTTTTAATGCAGCTCAGAGAGTGGCAGTATTAAGACAGGGTCTTATATTAATTTTTGCTCCAAAAACGCATTAGGGCTTATTTTCAGGAGATGTTTTATTTTCATGTCACCTTCTGGTTGCTGCACAGTGCTGCAACAATGGTGGAGGATGGGGTTTCACTTAACTAGGGCTTATTTTTGAGTATGGCTTATATTACGAGCATCCTGAAAAATCATACTAGGGCTTATTTTCAGGTTAGGTCTTATTTTCGGGAAAACAGGGTACACAAGTTAACCTCCCTCCATGCACAACATCATAGTAGATATTTCAGAAAACAATAGGTCAGTCACCCTGCTTAGATCCTCAGGTGCTGAAATATTGGCATCAGTAAAGTAATGCAGAATTTTATCATTTTGGTACCTGACTGCTGTATGGCAAAACGTTTTCCCCTTCCCTTTTCCCCTGAAGACTTTGAACCTCTGTGCTGCTGCTGATGGTGGGGATATCTACAGAGGGTTTCTCTCTAAATTAGGTTTTAAAGTTACATGGGAGAGTCTGCTATGAGGCTGGCATGTCCCCTTCCCAATTACACTGACTATTATCCTGCTGATATCAAGTTTATTTCAGGACTACTTTGGATATATTGCAAACTCTGATATTGATGGGGAAAGTTACAGCGGACCCTCGACTTACAGATGGCTAGACTTACAGACTTTTCGAGTTACAGACTTCTCTGGCCACAAAATTTAGGTTCAACTTGCAGCCGAATCGACCTAGAGACCAGAAAAAAAACCAAAATGGAACAAAAACGGCCAGTTACGGGATTAATCGGTTTTCAATGCATTGTAGGTCAATGGAGACTTGACCTACAGACCTTTCGACCTGCAGCCACCATTCCATTACGGATTAATTCTGTAAGTAGGGGGTCCACTGTAATGCCTTCCCTGATGGTTAGCATTTGCAACCTGACAATGTATATCTATCTGTCCAGCTGCCAACTCCCTCAGAAAGCTTTAAAAGAACTCAAATATAATGCAGATAAAATAAGAATTACAGCACAATTAAATTGAGTACACTTATTTTGTTATCTTGTGGTAGTCATATGGCTTTAATGTGCTAACAGCAGGTAACCTTGCCAAAGGTAAACATTCTTTGAAGCCACCATTACCACAAAATAACTTCCTGTACAATAAAGAATTAGACAATCACTGGCAGAGGATGAAATAGGCAAAAAAAGAGATTAAAATAATGTTTGCATGAGAGTTATATATTTGGGTTTTTTTTTGTTGTTGTTGCTTTTCCAATCTAAATGTGATTCTTTGAATTTTTTATTTTTATTTTTATTTTTATTTTTTGGCATTTGATGTACCGTAGCTGGGAACAGAGCAGGAAGCACATAGTGTGCAAGGTAGCTTGTTTACCGTGACGCAAGGCAGATAGATGGAAAGGGTTGCAGGCACATTCTACATCTCTTAATGCTAATTAGGAGAACCTGAAAAACATTTGAGATCTGACACACTCATTATGATTTAGCGCTCTGCCTATTAATCTTCACAGCAGGGTCGTTGGGTAAGTGAGAGTCTAGGCAGAGGATCTCTGCTTCTGAGGCTTTCAACCTCCTGAGGTAATTAGCAGGCATCTGTGTTTCCGTAACAAGGTATTAACTTACCTTTCAATGTCTGGGAAAAAAAATGAAACTAATAAAGTAAGGAGCTAAAGGAATGTTAATTATGTTTATCACTTACTTCATACTTAGAATAAGTGCCATTAAATTATAGCAGGCCATCTGGCAAATCCATATGGTCTCCTGGATTCATGGTTAATTCCAGCAAATAGGTCAAGCACAGTCTTCACCTCTTCAGGAAAGCATAAACAAGATGCACTAAACTGCGTAGATCAAGTTTTTCATAAACGTCACTTTCCACCTAAAGTCCAACTCTTCCTTCAGACTTGGCTTTATCTGATGTGTGTTTGGAGTTCATTGACTTGGCTTCCCTTACGACAAAGTTAAGTCAACGCTCAGGAGTGCAAGACAAGCAACAGTCTTGAGAGTTCACTGTGGGTTTTAGTTTCCAAGAACTGTCCATTCTGTCAGTGATCACCATAGCAACTCCTCACTCTTTAGCCTGAGTTACATACTGGCTGACAAGTGTGTTAAATAGTGTCTGCATAAACAGGTTCCTATTCATTAGGGATTGAGACAAAAAAACTGTTCACTTTGTTTTACTGGATGCTTCGGTGTCACAGGGAATAAACCATCACATAGGTATTTTTAATGGTTTGCCTCATTACTATCTTTGCCGTCTTTGGTTTGAAGTCTGTGTGGTATCAACTGTCAAAAGAGAGCATACAGAATAGTTTCCTCCAAATGGTGCCTATTGAGGGATGATGTCTCTTCCCCTGGAAAGTCAATACAAAGTTTCTAAGTTACAGCCATAATCAGATATAGCCCTTAATGGAAGGTGTAGTATGGGAACCCAATGACAGCTTGATCACCTCATGCGTGCCTGATCACTCTATTAGTCTAATGATAACTAGGAAGTAGACCTCTTTTGCTGTCATTCTCTGCATCATTAAATCCAGTGATTTCCTGGATGTCCATTGCTACAGCAGGTTCAATGGTAGTTTTATCTAGGTAACAAACTGTCATTAGAATCTGAACTTTCAGCTCCACCGCACAGACAAATGGCTATAGATTGGGGGAGGGCTACCTTTTCTGTACCCACATTGCCTGTTATTTCAGAGGATTGATTTCCATTGAACTGTTCAATTTTTTTTAAATGCAAATCTATAAACAGAGGGAGAAACCCTGACTCACATACCACACACAGAAGTGAGAAACTTTGCCACTGATAAAGACTTAAGCCCTATTTAGACATTAGAAATCAAGTAAGAGACTCACATAAAGAGAGTAGTGCTTCAGTCACATACCCTCTGTCCCTGCTTGCATCACTTACACATGAAGGGTGGTAGGTCTGAAGTGGGAGAGCTCTGCTATTTTGGACAATTTTCTTCTGAGTTGGGACCGTGATTTCCCAAGGTTCCATTCCAGGTGGTGAGCTTTTGGTTGGTGATGCTATCTTCAGGTTTATTATATCTACGTACATATATAGGAGAGTGGCCAGAAGTGTCAACAGAGAGAGCTCAGATTCAAAACCTCCTCTTCATGTGAATACTCTATATTATTTATTATTGCTATAGTCATAATCCATATTTAAGCCTGATATCTGTGCATATATACATTGTGATATATGACCATGATAGAAATGCCACAACTTAGTAAAACTGTTTCCAAAACAACATTGAGGCTAACACAAAGACACAATCAAGAAAGAAAGAAAAAAAGTCAAGAAGGATGAAACTGGACTGAGAAAGGCTTTGGAAGGAAAGATTAAATTTTTGTTCTGGTAAGATAAAGAAACGAGAAGCACAAGTTACAATAAACAGAAAACTGCCACCAAACTCCAATGAAAATCTTTCCAAAATGTTCTCCCTTCTAACAAAGAACTAGCAAAAGAGTAGAAGAGATATTTTTTAATCATCTCTTTGCCCAAGCACAGTAACTGGAGAATGCTGGATCACTAAATCAGTGTAATCCTTCTTGAACCAATCCAGTTCAATCAGTCTAATTTGGATTTGATTTGACCTGATTAGTTCCATCCAAGAGTTAGTCAAATTTGTGGCACCGCCCTAATAATTGGCATAACATAGTTTGACTTGAAGGCAGCCTCTCCCTCCCACAATAGTTTTCGTAGCTCTATCATTCCTTCCCTATCCAAACCCCAGATTTTACAGCCAAGATTAGAAAGAAAATGGTTTGTTTCCTTGTGACTAAAGCATCTGAATAATCAATTCCACAACTAGAAGAAGATTAAGACTGAGTTTTGCCTTTATTCTCTCTCCACATCCCAGTTTCATGCTGTTCTGTCTCTCCTTGGATATGATACTGTAGCAATTTCCAGAAAATCCCAAATAATTGTTTCTTAGAAGCAGAAAAAGCAGAGAAAGTATATGTAAATTTATTTGATCTTTTTATGTGCAGTTCATGTAGCATTTGAATTCTCTTCTTTGCAAAGTACACATAACTAGTCTTATGATAACACAGAGAGCTCTTGTGGTGCAAAACTGCATATTAGAGCAGAAACAATTAGAGCTATCTCTTTGCTATGTCACAAAGAACCCCTCTTGTTAGGCTACTAATGACACTTGGTTTCTGAAGGTTTCTTCCATGATATGTCAACTAAAAAGCAGCTTCCAGATAAATTCTTGCAGTTTATTTTTAAAGACTATTAGGGGGAAAAACATTTCGTATGGTGTATTCAGATATCTGTGATTTGGTCAGTAAACTAATACAAATGAGGCAGAAAAATTATGGAAATTTATATAGAGAAGAAAGAAAATTAAGAGAACACATCATGCAGATTACTTTGTCTAGACAAAGGATGTAAATCTTCATATAGTTCATCCTTGTAAAGGAGAACAAAATGTTTAAAAGTTTTCTCCCAGTTGGGCAAAATTTTGTTTTGTTTATTTTGCTTATTTATGGCATTGTAATGCTTTCTTTGTTAT